GAAACCATCCCCTGCAAGATGAAATTTAACCTCCTGTGTTAGCGTCCTCTGCAAACATGTGGATTTTGCCTGAAATTCAGCGCCCATTTTAGAGATCCGCAACCAGTGTTAGCCAACAATGGTTTTGCGCTCTCAATTATGAGGTGAATCGAGCCTGGGTTTGGCAATTTGAGTCAAATACTTAGTACTACAAAGCAGAGTGGCGCAGCGGAAGCGTGCTGGGCCCAAAACCCAGAGGCGCTGGATCGAAACCATCCCCTGCAAGATGCAATTTGACCTCCTGTGCTAGCGTCCTCTGCAAACATGTGGATTTTGCCTGAAATTCAGTGCCCATTTTAGAGATCCGCAACCAGTGTTAGCCAACAATGGCTTTGCGCTCTCAATTATGAGGTGAATCGAGCCTGGGTTTGGCAATTTGAGTCAAATACTCAGTGCTACAAAGCAGAGTGGCGCAGCGGAAGCGTGCTGGGCCCATAACCCAGAGGTCGATGGATCGAAACCATCCTCTGCTAATTTCTGAGTTTTCAATGTTTTAGTCCACCAAATGAATATCTGTTTAATGTATTGGCCACTAAATAAATTGCCATTGACAACCCAGTGCAGCCAATTCAGCAAGCATAAGCATCCCTCCTCACATTCTATGCACATTAAAAATTATGGTACAGATCCATATCCACTCTTTTGAAACCCACCTTTTTCTGTTTCAAACAATGCCAACATCTGGTTGGGATTAACCTTAGTAAACCTTTTGAACGGAAATCAATTTTTTCGCAACACGTCAGCCCCAGTGGCCTAATGGATAAGGCACTGGCCTCCTAAGCCAGGGATTGTGGGTTCGAGTCCCGTCTGGGGTGATTCAAAGCAGAGTGGCGCAGCGGAAGGGTGCTGGGCCCATAACCCAGAGGTCGATGGATCGAAACCATCCTCTGCTAGATGTGTGTTTTATACCACAAAGTCAATTGCAATTTGACATCCAGGTCTAGCCACCTCAGCAAACATGAGGATTTTGGCTCAAATTCAGTGCCCATTTTAGAGATCCGCAACCAGTGTTAGCCAACAATCGTTTTTCACTCTCAATTTTGAGGTGAATCGAGCCTGGGTTTGGCAATTTGAGTCAAATAGTTAGTACTACAAAGCAGAGTGGCGCAGCGGAAGCGTGCAGGGCCCATAACCCAGCGGTTGATGGATCGAAACCATGCTCTGCTAATTTCGGAGTTTTCAATGTTTTAGTCCACCAAATGAATATCTGTTCAATGTATTGGCCACTAAATAAATTGCCATTGACATCCCAGTGCAGCCAATTCAGCAAGCATAAGCATCCCTCCTCACATTCTATGCACATTAAAAATTTTGGTACATATCCATATCCACTCTTTTGAAACCCACCTTTTTCTGTTTCAAACAATGCCAACATCTGGTTGGGATTAACCTTAGTAAACCTTTTGAACTGAAATCAATTTCTTTGCACCATATCTGCCCCAGTGGACTAATGGATAAGGCACTGGCCTCCTAGGCCAGGGATTGTGCGTTCGAGACCCATCTGGGGTGATTTAAAGCAGAGTCGGGCTGCGGATGCGTGATGGACCCAGAGGTCGATGGATTGAAACCATCCCCTGCACGATGAAATTTAACCTCCTGTGTTAGCGTCCTCTGCAAACATGTGGATTTTGCCTGAAATTCAGTGCCCATTTTAGAGATCCGCAACCAGTGTTAGCCAACAATGGTTTTGCGCTCTCAATTATGAGGTGAATCGAGCCTGGGTTTGGCAATTTGAGTCAAATACTCAGTACTACAAAGCAGAGTGGCGCAGCGGAAGCGTGCTGGGCCCAAAACCCAGAGGCGCTGGATCGAAACCATCCCCTGCAAGATGCAATTTGACCTCCTGTGCTAGCGTCCTCTGCAAACATGTGGATTTTGCCTGAAATTCAGTGCCCATTTTAGAGATCCGCAACCAGTGTTAGCCAACAATGGTTTTGCGCTCTCAATTATGAGGTGAATCGAGCCTGGGTTTGGCAATTTGAGTCAAATACTCAGTGCTCCAAAGCAGAGTGGCGCAGCGGAAGCGTGCTGGGCCATAACCCAGAGGTCGATGGATCGAAACCATCCTCTGCTAATTTCTGAGTTTTCAATGTTTTAGTCCACCAAATGAATATCTGTTCAATGTATTGGCCACTAAATAAATTGCCATTGACAACCCAGTGCAGCCAATTCAGCAAGCATAAGCATCCCTCCTCACATTCTATGCACATTAAAAATTATGGTACAGATCCATATCCACTCTTAAAGAAAACCCACCTTTTTCTGTTTCAAACAATGCCAACAGCTGGTTGGGATTAACCTTAGTAAACCTTTTGAACTGAAAGCAATTTCTTTGCAACATATCTGCCCCGGTGGACTAATGGATAAGGCACTGGCCTCCAAGGCCAGGGATTGTGCGTTCGAAACCCGTCTGGGGTGATTAAAAGCATAGTGGGGCAGCGGATGCGTGATGGACCCAGAGGACGATGAATCGAAACCATCCCCTGTAAGTTGCAATTTGACCTCCTGTGCTAGCGTCCTCTGTAAACATGTGGATTTTGCCTGAAATTCAGTGCCCATTTTAGAGATCCGCAACCAGTGTTAGCCAACAATGGTTTTGCGCTCTAAATTATGAGGTGAATCGAGCCTGGGTTTGCCAATTTGAGTCAAATACTCAGTGCTCCAAAGCAGAGTGGCGCAGCGGAAGCGTGCTGGGCCCATAACCCAGAGGTCGATGGATCGAAACCATCCTCTGCTAATTTCGGAGTTTTCAATGTTTTAGTCCACCAAATGAATATCTGTTTAATGTATTGGCCACTAAATAAATTGCCATTGACAACCCAGTGCAGCCAATTCAGCAAGCATAAGCATCCCTCCTCACATTCTATGCACATTAAAAATTATGGTACAGATCCATATCCACTCTTTTGAAACCCACCTTTTTCTGTTTCAAACAATGCCAACATCTGGTTGGGATTAACCTTAGTAAACCTTTTGAACTGAAATCAATTTATTCGCAAAACGTCAGCCCCAGTGGCCTAAAGGATAAGGCACTGGCCTCCTAAGCCAGGGATTGTGGGTTCGAGTCCCGTCTGGGGTGATTTAAAGCAGAGTGGCGCAGCGGAAGCGTGCTGGGCCCATAACCCAGAGGTCGATGGATCGAAACCATCCTCTGCTAGATGTGTGTTTTATACCACAAAGTCAATTGCAATTTGACATCCAGGTCTAGCCACCTCAGCAAACATGAGGATTTTGGCTCAAATTCAGTGCCCATTTTAGAGATCCGCAACCAGTGTTAGCCAACAATCGTTTTTCACTCTCAATTTTGAGGTGAATCGAGCCTGGGTTTGGCAATTTGAGTCAAATAGTTAGTACTACAAAGCAGAGTGGCGCAGCGGAAGCGTGCTGGGCCCATAACCCAGCGGTCGATGGATCGAAACCATCCTCTGCTAATTTTGGAGTTTTCAATGTTTTAGTCCACCAAATGAATATCTGTTCAATGTATTGGCCACTAAATAAATTGCCATTGACATCCCAGTGCAGCCAATTCAGCAAGCATAAGCCTCCTCACATTCTATGCACATTAAAAATTTTGGTACATATCCATATCCACTCTTTTGAAACCCACCTTTTTCTGTTTCAAACAATGCCAACATCTGGTTGGGATTAACCTTAGTAAACCTTTTGAACTGAAATCAATTTCTTTGCACCATATCTGCCCCAGTGGACTAATGGATAAGGCACTGGCCTCCTAGGCCAGGGATTGTGCGTTCGAGACCCATCTGGGGTGATTTAAAGCAGAGTCGGGCAGCGGATGCGTGATGGACCCAGAGGTCGATGGATTGAAACCATCCCCTGCAAGATGAAATTTAACCTCCTGTGTTAGCGTCCTCTGCAAACATGTGGATTTTGCCTGAAATTCAGCGCCCATTTTAGAGATCCGCAACCAGTGTTAGCCAACAATGGTTTTGCGCTCTCAATTATGAGGTGAATCGAGCCTGGGTTTGGCAATTTGAGTCAAATACTTAGTACTACAAAGCAGAGTGGCGCAGCGGAAGCGTGCTGGGCCCCAAAACCCAGAGGCGCTGGATCGAAACCATCCCCTGCAAGATGCAATTTGACCTCCTGTGCTAGCGTCCTCTGCAAACATGTGGATTTTGCCTGAAATTCAGTGCCCATTTTAGAGATCCGCAACCAGTGTTAGCCAACAATGGCTTTGCGCTCTCAATTATGAGGTGAATCGAGCCTGGGTTTGGCAATTTGAGTCAAATACTCAGTGCTACAAAGCAGAGTGGCGCAGCGGAAGCGTGCTGGGGCCCATAACCCAGAGGTCGATGGATCGAAACCATCCTCTGCTAATTTCTGAGTTTTCAATGTTTTAGTCCACCAAATGAATATCTGTTTAATGTATTGGCCACTAAATAAATTGCCATTGACAACCCAGTGCAGCCAAATTCAGCAAGCATAAGCATCCCTCCTCACATTCTATGCACATTAAAAATTATGGTACAGATCCATATCCACTCTTTTGAAACCCACCTTTTTCTGTTTCAAACAATGCCAACATCTGGTTGGGATTAACCTTAGTAAACCTTTTGAACGGAAATCAATTTTTTCGCAACACGTCAGCCCCAGTGGCCTAATGGATAAGGCACTGGCCCTCCTAAGCCAGGGATTGTGGGTTCGAGTCCCGTCTGGGGTGATTCAAAGCAGAGTGGCGCAGCGGAAGGGTGCTGGGCCCATAACCCAGAGGTCGATGGATCGAAACCATCCTCTGCTAGATGTGTGTTTTATACCACAAAGTCAATTGCAATTTGACATCCAGGTCTAGCCACCTCAGCAAACATGAGGATTTTGGCTCAAATTCAGTGCCCATTTTAGAGATCCGCAACCAGTGTTAGCCAACAATCGTTTTTCACTCTCAATTTTGAGGTGAATCGAGCCTGGGTTTGGCAATTTGAGTCAAATAGTTAGTACTACAAAGCAGAGTGGCGCAGCGGAAGCGTGCAGGGCCCATAACCCAGCGGTCTGATGGATCGAAACCATGCTCTGCTAATTTCGGAGTTTTCAATGTTTTAGTCCACCAAATGAATATCTGTTCAATGTATTGGCCACTAAATAAATTGCCATTGACATCCCAGTGCAGCCAATTCAGCAAGCATAAGCATCCCTCCTCACATTCTATGCACATTAAAAATTTTGGTACATATCCATATCCACTCTTTTGAAACCCACCTTTTTCTGTTTCAAACAATGCCAACATCTGGTTGGGATTAACCTTAGTAAACCTTTTGAACTGAAATCAATTTCTTTGCACCATATCTGCCCCAGTGGACTAATGGATAAGGCACTGGCCTCCTAGGCCAGGGATTGTGCGTTCGAGACCCATCTGGGGTGATTTAAAGCAGAGTCGGGCTGCGGATGCGTGATGGACCCAGAGGTCGATGGATTGAAACCATCCCCTGCAAGATGAAATTTAACCTCCTGTGTTAGCGTCCTCTGCAAACATGTGGATTTTGCCTGAAATTCAGTGCCCATTTTAGAGATCCGCAACCAGTGTTAGCCAACAATGGTTTTGCGCTCTCAATTATGAGGTGAATCGAGCCTGGGTTTGGCAATTTGAGTCAAATACTCAGTACTACAAAGCAGAGTGGCGCAGCGGAAGCGTGCTGGGCCCAAAACCCAGAGGCGCTGGATCGAAACCATCCCCTGCAAGATGCAATTTGACCTCCTGTGCTAGCGTCCTCTGCAAACATGTGGATTTTGCCTGAAATTCAGTGCCCATTTTAGAGATCCGCAACCAGTGTTAGCCAACAATGGTTTTGCGCTCTCAATTATGAGGTGAATCGAGCCTGGGTTTGGCAATTTGAGTCAAATACTCAGTGCTTCCAAAGCAGAGTGGCGCAGCGGAAGCGTGCTGGGCCCATAACCCAGAGGTCGATGGATCGAAACCATCCTCTGCTAATTTCTGAGTTTTCAATGTTTTAGTCCACCAATGAATATCTGTTCAATGTATTGGCCACTAAATAAATTGCCATTGACAACCCTGTGCAGCCAAATTCAGCACGCATAAGCATCCCTCCTCACATTCTATGCACATTAAAAAATTATGGTACAGATCCATATCCACTCTTAAAGAAAACCCACCTTTTTCTGTTTCAAACAATGCCAACAGCTGGTTGGGATTAACCTTAGTAAACCTTTTGAACTGAAAGCAATTTCTTTGCAACATATCTGCCCCGGTGGACTAATGGATAAGGCACTGGCCTCCAAGGCCAGGGATTGTGCGTTCGAAACCCGTCTGGGGTGATTAAAAGCATAGTGGGGCAGCGGTATGCGTGATGGACCCAGAGGACGATGAATCGAAACCATCCCCTGTAAGTTGCAATTTGACCTCCTGTGCTAGCGTCCCTCTGTAAACATGTGGATTTTGCCTGAAATTCAGTGCCCATTTTAGAGATCCGCAACCAGTGTTAGCCAACAATGGTTTTGCGCTCTAAATTATGAGGTGAATCGAGCCTGGGTTTGCCAATTTGAGTCAAATACTCAGTGCTCCAAAGCAGAGTGGCGCAGCGGAAGCGTGCTGGGCCCATAACCCAGAGGTCGATGGATCGAAACCATCCTCTGCTAATTTCGGAGTTTTCAATGTTTTAGTCCACCTAAAATGAATATCTGTTATAATGTATTGGCCACTAAATAAATTGCCATTGACAACCCAGTGCAAGCCAATTCAGCAAGCCTAAGCATCCCTACCTCACATTCTATGCACATTAAAAATTAATGGTAATGATCCATATCCACTCTTTTGAAACCCACCTTTTTCTGTTTCAAAACAATGCACAACATCTGGTTGGGATTAACCTTAGTAAAACCTTTTGAACTGAAATCAATTTATTCGCAAAAACGTCAGCTCCCAGTGGCCTAAGGATAAGGCACTGGCCTCCTAAGCCAGGGATTGTGGGTTCGAGTCCCGTCTGGGGTGATTTAAAGCAGAGTGGCGCAGCGGAAAGCGTGCCTGGGCCCATAACCCAGAGGTCGATGGATCGAAAACCATCCTCTGCTTAGATGTGTGTTTTTATACCACAAAGTCAATTGCAATTTGACATCCAGGTCTAGCCACCCTCAGCAACATGAGGTTTTTGCTCAAATTCAGTGCCCATTTTGAGATCCCGCAACCAGTGTTAGGCCAACAATCGTTTTTCACTCCTCAATTTTGAGGGTGAATCGAGCCTGGGTTTGGCAATTTGAGTCAAATTAGTTAGTACTACAAAGCAGAGTGGACGCAGCGGAAGCGTGCATGGGCCCATAACCCAGCCGGTCGATGGATCGAAACCATCCTCTGCTAATTTGGAGTTTTCAATGTTTTAGTCCACCAAATGAATATCTGTTCAATGTATTGGCCACTAAATAAATTGCCATTGACATCCCAGTGCAGGCCAATTCAGCAAGCATAAGCCTCCCTCACATTCTATGCACATTTAAAAATTTTGGTACATATCCTTATCCACTCTCTTTGAAACCCACCTTTTTCTGTTTCAAACAATGCCAACATCTGGTTGGGATTAACCTTAGTAAACCTTTTGAACTGAATCAATTTCTTCTGCACCATATCTGCCCCAGTGGACTATGGATAAGGCACTGGCCTCCTAGGCCAGGGATTGTGCGTTTCGAGACCCATCTGGGGTGATTTAAAGCAGAGTCGGGCTGCGGATGCGTGATTGGACCACCCCAGAAGAGTCGATGGATTGAAACATCCCCCCTGCAAGATGAAATTTAACCTCCTGTGTTAGCGTCCTCTGCAAACATGTGATTTTGCCTGAAATTCAGCGCCCATTTTAGAGATCCGACAACCAGTGTTAGCCAACAATGGTTTTGCGACTCTCAATTATGAGGTGAATCGAGCCCTGGGTTTGGCAATTTGAGTCAAATACTGTAGTACTACAAAGCAGAGTGGCGCAGCCGGAAGCGTGCTGGGCCACCAAAACCCAGAGGCGCTGGATCGAAACCATCCCCCTGCAAGATGCAATTTGACCTCCTGTGCTAGCGTCCCTCTGCAAACATGTGGATTTTGCCTGAAATTCAGTGCCCATTTTAGAGATCAGCAACCAGTGTTAGCCAACAATGGCTTTGCGCTCTCAATTATGAGGTGAATCGAGCCTGGGTTTGGCAATTTGAGTCAAATACTCAGTGCTACAAAGCAGAGTGGCGCAGCGGAAGCAGTTGCTGGGCCCATAACCCAGAGGTCGATGGATCGAAACCATCCTCTGCTAATTTCTGAGGTTTTCAATGTTTTAGTCCACCAAATGAATATCTGTTTAATGTATTGGCCACTAAATAAATTGCCATTGACAACCAGTGCAGCCAATTCAGCAAGCATAAGCATCCCTCCTCACATTCTATGCACATTAAAAATTATGGTACAGATCCATATCCACTCTTTTGAAACCCACCTTTTTCTGTTTCAAACAATGCCAACATCTGGTTGGGATTAACCTTAGTAAACCTTTTGAACGAAATCAATTTTTTCGCAACACGTCAGCCCCAGTGGCCTAATTGATAAGGCTCTGGCCTCCTAAGCCAGGGATTGTGGGTTCGAGTCCCGTCTGGGGTGATTCAAAGCAGAGTGGCGCAGCGGAAGGCGTGCTGGGCCCATAACCCAGAGGTCGATGGATCGAAAACCATCCTCTGCTAGATGTGTGTTTTATACCACAAAGTCAATTGCAATTTGACATCCAGGTCTAGCCACCTCAGCAAACATGAGGAATTTTGGCTCAAATTCAGTGCCCATTTTAGAGATCCGCAACCAGTGTTAGCCAACAATCGTTTTTCACTCTCAATTTTGAGGTGAATCGAGCCTGGGTTTGGCAATTTGAGGTCAAATAGTTAGTACTACAAAGCAGAGTGGCGCAGCGGAAGCGTGCAGGGCCCATAACCCAGCGGTCGATGGATCGAAACCATGCTCTGCTAATTTCGGAGTTTTCAATGTTTTAGTCCACCAAATGAATATCTGTTCAATGTATTGGCCACTAAATAAATTGCCATTGAACATCCCAGTGCAGCCAATTCAGCAAGCATAAGCATCCCTCCTCACATTCTTTGCACATTAATAAATTTTGGGTACATATCCATATCCACTTCTTTTGAAACCACCTTTTTCTGTTTCAAACAATGCCAACATCTGTTGGGATTAACCTTAGTAAACCTTTTGAACTGAAATCAATTTCTTTGCACCATATCTGCCCCAGTGGACTAATGGATAAGGCACTGGCCTCCTAGGCACAGGGATTGTGCGTTCGAGACCCATCTGGGGTGATTTAAAGCAGAGTCGGGCTGCGGGATGCGTGATGGATCCCAGAGGTCGATGGATGAAACCATCCCCTGCACGATGAAATTTAACCTCCTGTGTTAGCGTCCTCTGCAAACATGTGGATTTTTGCCTGAAATTCAGTGCCATTTTAGAGATCCGCAACCAGTGTTAGCCAACAATGGTTTTGCGCTCTCAATTATGAGGTGAATCGAGCCTGGGTTTGGCAATTTGAGTCAAAATACTCAGTACTACAAAGCAGAGTGGCGCAGCGGAAGCGTGCTGGGCCCAAAACCCAGAGGCGCTGGATCGAAACCATCCCCTGCAAGATGCAATTTGCCTCCTGAGCTAGCGTCCTCTGCAAACATGTGGATTTTGCCTGAAATTCAGTGCCCATTTTAGAGATCCGCAACCAGTGTTAGCCAACAATGGTTTTGCGCTCTCAATTACTGAGGTGAATCGAGCCTGGTGTTGGCAATTTGAGTCAAATACGCAGTGCGCATCAAAGCAGGAGTGGCGCACGGAAGCGTGCTGGCCCAAAACCCAGAGGTCGAAGGATCGAAACCATTCCTCTGCTAATTTCTGAGTTTTCCAATGTTTTAGTCCACCAAATGAATATCTGTTCAATGTATTGGCCACTAAATAAATTGCCGATTGGACAACCCCAGTGCAGCCAATTCAGCAAGCATAAGCAGCCCTCCTCACATTCTATGAACATTAAAAATTATGGTACAGATCCATATCCACTCTTAAGAAAACCCCACCTTTTTCTGTTTCAAACAATGCCAACAGCTGGTTGGGATTAACCTTAGTAAAACCTTTTGAACTGAAAGCAATTTCTTTGCAACATATCTGCCCCGGTGGACTAATGGATAAGGCACTGGCCTCCAAGGCCAGGGATTGTGCGTTCGAAACCCGTTCTGGGGTGATTAAAAGCATAGTGGGGCAGCGGATGCGTGATGGGACCCAGAGGACGATGAATCGAAAACCATCCCCTGTAAGTTGCAATTTGACCTCCTGTGCTAGCGTCCTCTGTAAACATGTGGATTTTGCCTGAAATTCAGTGCCATTTTAGAGATCCGCAACCAGTGTTAGCCAACAATGGTTTTGCGCTCTAAATTATGAGGTGAATCGAGCCTGGGTTTGCCAATTTGAGTCAAATACTCAGTGCTCCAAAGCAGAGTGGCGCAGCGGAAGCGTGCTGGGCCCATAACCCAGAGGTCGATGGATCGAAACCAATCCTCTGCTAATTTCGGAGTTTTCAATGTTTTTAGTCCACCAAATGAATATCTGTTTAATGTATTGGCCACTAAATAAATTGCCATTGACAACCCAGTGCAGCCAATTTCAGCAAGCATAAGCATCCCTCCTCACATTCTATGCACATTAAAAATTATGGTACAGATCCATATCCACTCTTTTGAACACCACCTTTTTCTGTTTCAAACAATGCCAACAATCTGGTTGGGATTAACCTTAGTAAACCTTTTGAACTGAAATCAATTTATTCGCAAAAACGTCAGCCCCAGTGGCCTAAAGGATAAGGCACTGGCCTCCTAAGCCAGGGGATTGTGGGTTCGAGTCCCGTCTGGGGTGATTTAAGGAGGCAGAGGTGGCGCAGCGGTATCGAGGCTGGGGCCACATAACCCAGAGGGTCGTTTGATGGATCGAATACCCTCCTCTGCTTAGTTTGTACCAATGTGTTGATTGTGTTTTCTACCTCAAAGTCAATGCAATTTGACAACCAGGGACTAGCCCTACCTCAGCAAACATGAGGATTTTGGCTCAAATTCAGTGCCCATTTTAGAGATCCGCAACCAGTGTTAGCCAACAATCGTTTTTCACTCTCAATTTTGAGGTGAATCGAGCCTGGGTTTGGCAATTTGAGTCAAATAGTTAGTACTACAAAGCAGAGTGGCGCAGCGGAAGCGTGCTGGGCCCATAACCCAGCGGTCGATGGATCGAAACCATCCTCTGCTAATTTTGGAGTTTTCAATGTTTTAGTCCACCAAATGAATATCTGTTCAATGTATTGGCCACTAAATAAATTGCCATTGACATCCCAGTGCAGCCAATTCAGCAAGCATAAGCCTCCTCACATTCTATGCACATTAAAAATTTTGGTACATATCCATATCCACTCTTTTGAAACCCACCTTTTTCTGTTTCAAACAATGCCAACATCTGGTTGGGATTAACCTTAGTAAACCTTTTGAACTGAAATCAATTTCTTTGCACCATATCTGCCCCAGTGGACTAATGGATAAGGCACTGGCCTCCTAGGCCAGGGATTGTGCGTTCGAGACCCATCTGGGGTGATTTAAAGCAGAGTCGGGCTGCGGATGCGTGATGCACCCAGAGGGCGATGGATTGAAACCATCCCCTGCAAGATGAAATTTAACCTCCTGTGTTAGCGTCCTCTGCAAACATGTGGATTTTGCCTGAAATTCAGTGCCCATTTTAGAGATCCGCAACCAGTGTTAGCCAACAATGGTTTTGCGCTCTCAATTATGAGGTGAATCGAGCCTGGGTTTGGCAATTTGAGTCAAATACTCAGTACTAGAAAGCAGAGTGGCGCAGCGGAAGCGTGCTGGGCCCAAAACCCAGAGGCGCTGGATCGAAACCATCCCCTGCAAGATGCAATTTGACCTCCTGTGCTAGCGTCCTCTGCAAACATGTGGATTTTGCCTGAAATTCAGTGCCCATTTTAGAGATCCGCAACCAGTGTTAGCCAACAATGGTTTTGCGCTCTCAATTATGAGGTGAATCG